CCCTCCACTCCACACCCCCTCCCTCGTGTCCGCAGTTCGCGGCGGCCATGCAGCCCATCACCTCGCTGGCGTTTGTGTTTGACGGGCTGCACTACGGCGCCAACGACTTCGCCTTCGCTGCCATCGCAATGGTACCCTCTCCACGCCGCACTGCCGCACGCCCCCATGCTCCGCACCACGCTCGCTCGTTACCTCTCATCCCTCTCCCCCGTGCTGTGCTCCTCTCTGCTTACCTCTGGCGCCCACAGCAGCACACCTGTCACCCTCTCTCCCGCTGCGCCCCGGCAGATCGCCCTGGCGCCAGCAGCGGCGGCGCATCTCCTCTTGGCCCCCAGCGAGTGGGGCCTGGAGGGCGTGTGGATCGGCCTCTCGCTCATCATGGCGGCGCGCATGTACTCCGGGTTCCTCAGGTGAGGCGGCACACCACGCATGCTCTCAGGGATTTTCAAGGGCACAAGCATGTGGGCCTGCACTGTTTCTGCTGTGTATGGCTGCTATTTGCTCTGTGTCTCATGCATTGTCGCATGCATTGTCGCATGCATTGTCGCATGCATTGTCTCATCTCATGCATTGTCTCATGCGTTGGGCCCCTCCTGCCTTATGGGGGCTATATGCAGAGTGGGCACTGGTGGTGGAGCGTGGGCAGTGCTGCTGCAGCCGCAACCCCATGGCAACATGAGTGATGTGGGTACAAGCGCTGGTGATGCATGCAACGGTGGGGCAAGTGGTGGTGGCAGTGGGGATACGAATGAGGGCATGCACACAGCGGAAGAAGGAACGCCTGCAGCGGGTGCTACGTCCGGAGCTATCCGTATTGTCAATATTGATCACTCAAAAACTGATGCAAACATGTTAAGAAATATTTCCTAAAAGCCCATGATGTAAGTTTCTATTTGTAGGGAGTAACGCATCTCCAGCAAACTGATCTGTTAGCGAGGCACGGAATTCCCAAGACAGGCATCGAGATCAGCATTCTAGAAAACTGGCAAGTTGGTTCTCGGCTTTGCACTTCCCATACTACGTTAGTATCCTGGCACGTCGTTACTAGCATAGGCAACGTTCTTTAGAGCGCCTTCGCACGCAGACGAGCCTGCTAGTCGTCAAGATCAAACGTATAAGTATTGCAGAGAGTTAGGTATCGCGGACTGAGCGATTATCATTAGATTATCATTAGATTATTATTCAGCGAGGAATCTCGGATGGCGGAGTCGGGGGGTGCTGCCGCGCCATCCGCACCCGAGGCGTCGGGCGTGGAGTCGTCCATGGTGCGCCTCGCGGTGGCGGACGCGGCGGACGGGAAGCCCGCAGGTGGCGGCGGTGGTGAGGCGGAGGAGCTTGTTGACGCGGAGCAGACGGAGGTGGTGCTGTTCCGCCTCGACGAGTGCTACGTCTACAAGGTGCGCGGAGCCTCGTTTTCTGCGACGGCGTGAGTTCCGTGGCGCGCTGACGGGCTCAGGCAAGTGACGAGGCGGCCGCACCTCGTGCCAGAGGGGAAACAGCACCGAGTGGCAGCGCGCATCCGTAGTGTGTGCAGAGATGTTTCGCAATGCGCGTCTCCCGTGCATGCAGGGCGCGGGACGTGCATCAGCCAACCCTTTCCAGCCGCCTCTTATGGTCCAGCTTCAACGCTGCTCCCTCTTCCCCTGCACGCCAACAACCATCTGTCGCCGTCCCACGCATTCCACGCTCCCAGTGCCCTTCACCCGCTGAAATCAGCTTCGTCTTCCTCTCCCTTGCCCCGTCTCCCCTCCCCTCCCCGCCCGCCCTCCCTCCCTTCCCCTCCCTCCCTCCCTTCCCCGCCCTCCCTCCCCTCCCCGCCCCCGCTACCCCCTGCGAGCGCCATCAGATCCCTCCGCGCAAGACCGCAGCGTCGCACAGGTGAGTGCTCGCAGCCTCCCTGTGCCCCACCACCTCATGCCAGCATTGCCCCCATCTTTGGTCGCATCCCACCCGCTCACGCACATTGCACGCACCGGCTCTCCTTCCCCCTGCTCTCCTTCCCCCTGCTCTCCTTCCCCCTTCTGCCCATCCCCGCGCCCCATCTCGTTCCCCGCCCTTCTCGATTTCCCCGCCCCCCATCCATCTCCCCGCCCCCATCAATCCTCCCCCTCCCGCTCAACTTCCCTCCCCCCCAGGGCGGACGAGTGGAACATCAACAAGTGGGCGTGGGAGGGCGCCATCACCGTGGCGTCGCGTGGCGACGACTGCACCATCCGGCTGCACGACCGCGGCACCAGCGAGCTGTTCGCCCAGGCGCCCGTGCGCCCCGACCAGCCGCTGCCGGTGGAGGCGGTGATCGACAGCAGCCGCTTCTTCGTGCTGCGCATCGAAGACTCCTCCCCGCCCGCCGCTCCCCCTGCCTCCGCCTCTAACAAGGCCGGCAAGGCAGCAGCGGCAGCGGCAGCGGCAGCGGCGCCCTCGGTGGTGCGGCATGCATTCATCGGGCTGGGGTTCCGCGAGCGCACGGCGGCGTACGACTTCCAGGCGGCGGTGTACGACCACGTGAAGTACGTCAACAAGCAGCGCGAGGCACGGCTCATGGGGCAGGCATACGACTCCAAGCCCGCCGCCGACTACCGCCTCAAGGACGGCCAGAAGCTGCACCTCGACCTCAAAACGGTGCGTGTGGTGGTGGGAGAGCAATGTAGTGAGCGGGGGTGCGTGGTGAGATTGGAGTTGTCGTGACGGCTGCGTGTCATCAGCATGAGGAGGTGGGCACGGCTTTGGAGGCTGGGCGCCATGGACTGCACGCATGCTGCTGGGCACCTCGCTGGCCCTTTCCCCCCTGCTCACTCTGCACCCATGTGCCACTGCCTGCCCTCATGTGCCGCTGCCTGCCCTCATGTGCCGCTGCCTGCCCTCATGTGCCGCTGCCTGCCCTCTGCATCCTGCCCCCCCCCCTCCCCCCTCCCAGCCGTCGCTGAGGGCGAAGCCTTGTACGGCGGGGCTGCCCCTGTCGCCCACCACGCCCGGTAATGTGGCCTTCAAGCCGCACTCCATCCTCGCAAGCCATGCGCCCACTGCACCTGACGCGCCCTCCCCCATGCGCCAAGCATCAGGGGAGCACGCTGATGCTGCGCCCTCCTCCCCTGACGCCGCCGCCACCACCGCTGCTGCCAGGAGCAGCAACAGCTCGGACTCCAGCAGCTCTGCTGCCGCCACCCCCCCCATCCTGCCTCCCCCGCCCCCTGCGCGCCTCTCCTCCCCGCCCTCCACCTGCTTCTCCTCGCCCTCCTCCGCCCTCGCCTCCGCCCCCTCGTCCGCCTCCCCCTCCATCGCCTGGGCCTTCCAGTCCGACTCCCCTCCCCCCCCCGCACCCCAACCTGTGGGGTCTGCAGCGCCAGCATCAGCAGAGGCAGCAGCGGGCGGCGGTGCGGGTGAGGGGGCAGACGACACGGACGACTTTGGGGACTTCGTGGCGGCGTGAGCAGGTGGCTGTGGCCTGGACCATTCCTGACTGAGCCTAGGTTATTCGCCCGTGTTGACCTGCTGTGATCCGCTGGATGGTCTTCAATTAGCAACACGGAATCTCACATGAAGCAAGGCTGCTGCTATGCCATGGCATCACAAGGTGTCAACCGGGCAAGCTTGTCAACTGGACACTGAGCACTGATCACTCGTTTTACATGACATTCTTGTATACATGACCACCACAAAATAAACCAATTGGGTGTAGTCGTACATTGAAAGCTGCTAGCCATCATCATTCTACTCCACCGAAGTGGTCCCCTAGGCACCAGTCACCAGCCATTTTCCATCATCCATGAGCTTTATCCTGGACTCCAGCTCACTACCTCCCTAGCTCGTGCCATTCCTCTTCCCCCCTCCCACCCCCTTCCCCTTCCCCCCCTTCTTCCCCCACAGCGTCTCCCTATGTAGGAACGCTGCACTCATCCGCGCCGCCCGGCCCCCCACCCCCTCCTGCCCTGCGTCCTTCCCCGCGTCGTCCCCCTCCCCCCCCCCATATCGGATGCGCCGGGCCTCAGTCTGGAAGTCCCGCAGCATGTCTCGCACCACCTGTGCCGTGATGCCTCTCACGTAGTAGTCCAGGGGGGGCGGCGGGGCCAGCGCCAGCTGCACCACCTGCTGCAGATGCACCCTCGACGCCATGCGCATGCACTGCCCTGGCCCATCCTCACTTGCACCGCCCTCAGCTGCGCCTGTCTCCGCAGCTTGCCTGCTGTCGAATGCCTCCTGCGCATCCTCAAACTCGCCTCCCTCCTTGCCTTCTCCCGTCGCATCCTTCCCCGCCCCATCCTTCACATCCCCATCCTTCACATCCCCATCCTTCACATCCCCATCCTTCACATCCCCATCCTTCACATCCCCATCCTTCACATCCCCGCCCTTCTCTTCTTTCTCCGTCCCCGCCGTCCCCTCCGTCCCCGCCTTCCCCTCCGTCCCCGCCTTCCCCTCCGTCCCCGCCTTCCCCTCCTTCCCCGCCCTCTCCCGTTGCGCCCGCATCTCCGCCGACCCCCCCACGGGCAGCGGCTCCACGCGCCAGAAGCCCTCGAAGCGCCGCATGAAGCCGGGCTGCGCAATTTTGAACGACATCTGGGGGGAGGGAAGGGGGGGATGGGACAAGGAGGAATCTGGATCAGTTGCGCGAGAGCCAGTCGACACGTGGACGCAGCTTCGTTTCCTCCCTCGGACCTCTCATGCTGCGCTCGCATTGGTCCCCGCACTCCCCTCCCCCCTGCCCCCGCACTGCTGGCGCACCTTGCGCTCGGCCCTGTCCTGCGTGACGAGCAGCCTTGTGTCGAAGGCGCCCGAGAAGACGAGGAAGCGCCAGGCGGCGGACTGCTCGACCTCGACGAGCTGGCGGTCGCCGTCGTCCTCCAGCACCTTGCGGTGCTTCACGGCCTTGATGTTCTTGAACACGCGCCTGTTGTACGGGTCGCACAGCGTGTTGTACACCGCGTCGGGCGGCAGGGCGAATGTGACCTGGCAGTCGAGCTGGCAGAAGGTGCCTTTGGGCGTCGACACCGTCAGCTGCGCCACCTCATCGTCCCACTCGGGGTCGGTGCGCCACGCCTGCATCTGCCGCTCCAGCTCCGCGCGCCACAAGATGCGCCCCTCTCGGTACCCGTCCATCTGCACCACCGCCTCCTCCCCCTTCCGCTCCGCCTCCTCAGCCTGCCGCTGCGCCTCCGCGGCTGCGTGCGCCTGCTCCCACTCTCTCTGCCGCGCCAAGCTCTTCTCATCCATGACAAGTGGCGGCTCCTCATTGGTCGCGTCTTGGAACGTCTCTTCGGCGTCAGCGTCGCCGTCCAAAGCGTCCTTGCATTCACCGCCATCAGCGCCGGGGGTTCCGGCGCTCGCTGCGACGGGAGCGGGCAATTCGGATTCCTTCACCCCATTCGGTTCGTGTATCACGTTTCTCCCCTCCTCCTTCCCGCCTGCCTCCATCGCCGCTCACTGCGTCGGCCTCTTGCCTCGCTCGCTCCGTGGCTTACGTGCGACGAGTGTTACCCCGAGCACATGCAAGATAATCGACACTGGCGCGTGGTCCCTTCGCTTGCTCTAGTTGCGAGCTCGAGGCGGCGTGGATCAAGTAACTGAACTGTGTGAGCAAGATGGGTTGCCTTGAGATTTGCTCCCAACAATGACAACGTGCGACAAACCGTCGAGTCGAGACTGCAAGTTCTGTGAGGTTCGCTGGAGCCAGCGGGCTTTCGGGGGGGAAGACCAAGAAATGGGACACTCACGGGTTGGCTACGCCGGGCCCATGGTCGAGCTGGTGGAGTTGCCCGCACGACGGGTGCTCGCGCGAAGACTCGGCTGAGCTGCCCACGTTCCCCTGTGACGTGGTGCTGATGTGTCGATCGCTGCTGCCGTGGCGCTATGCAAGCTGACTGAAAGGGCTGCGGGAGCCAATCGGGAGGCTTGCTTTGGCAAGGCAGGCAAGGTTCGCATTGTTCGCGACATCGGAGTTGTCAGCCACATTTGGCTGTACAGTAAATCTCCAGCTCAGCATTATTTACGAATTCATACAAAGAAAAAACAATGAAAGGTATAACATGAATTTATGTACAAAGTGTCTCCTTGCGGGCAACGTTTGGCTGCCCTTTGGCAATGTGTCTTAGGCACAAAGCCGATGTATATCACGCACCTCTATATCCTTAGCACTTCACTCCCTTTCTCATGGGTACCCAGTGGCACTCTTTGCGTGGGAGTGAGCTTTTGAGCACCTCCTTATGAAGGAACGCAGCACTCTTCACCGCCCAGAATTCGTTGTCCCTCTGCAAATGCAACTCACGTGGCTCCACGCCCTCTCCTCCTCCCACCTCCACTGCTCTCTCCTCCACCTCTCGCTTCTTCTGCTCCACCTCCGGCTTCCTCTCCTCCTCCCCATCATCTGAGGAAGAACCCTCATCATCCTCGTGAGAATCCAGCCGCACAAGAGGCGGAGGGGGAGGCAGAGGCACCTCCGGCTGCAGTTTTCCAGCAGGCACGGCCGCCATGGGGGCGGTATCGGGGAGGGCGTCGTCATAGTCGGCCACGGGCACGTCCTCCTCCCTCAGGCGCTGCGCCTCCGCCATGAAGCTCTTCAGCATGTCGCGCGCCTCGTGCGCCGTCTTGCTGCGCGCCAGCATGTCGAACGGCGGGGGCGGCGGCATGGCCAGCTGAATCACCTGCTGCAGGCGCACGCGCGAGGCCATGCGCATGTGGCACTCCACGCAGCACTCCTCCTCGTCACGTTCACCAGGTAACACGTCACTGGCATCGAAGAACACGTCACCGTCTTTGTCCATCTCTCCGCCTGTCCACCCGAGCCGTCCATCCCCCTCCCTGTCTCTGCCCTTTCCACCTGCAGCCGCGCTCTCCCGGGCGGCCATGGCGCGCGCGTGTCGCGAGCACGGCACGGGAAGCGGATCCACCTGCCAGAAGCCCTCGAAGCGGCGCATGAAGCCCGGTCGGGCGATCTCGAACGACATCTGCAGCGCGAAGAGGTTAGGAAGCGGTTTGAGTCAACTGGAGAGCGGGTGAGCGGCACGACAGCAGCGCGCGGGGATAAACGAACGAGGGGAAAAAAACGCAACCCATCAAATGAAGAGCTGCTCTGGGACGATCATTTTGCTCAAGGATACCGGTGGAGTTCGACGTTTTTTTGTGAGCTCACCGTGTGCTTGAGTCGGTCCTGGCGCACGAAGAGCCGCACGTCGCACGACCCCGAGAAGACGAGGAAGCGCCCCACGGCGGACTGTTCCACCTCGACGAGCTGCCGGTCGCCGTCGTCGGCGAGCACCCTGCGGAACGTGACGGCGCGGATGTTTTTGAACACGCGACGGTTGCACGGGTCGATCAGGATGTTGTACACCGCGTCCGGCGGCAGCGCCAGCGTCACCTCCGAGTCGATCTGGCAGAACGCGCCCTTGGGGGCCGACACCTGGTCGGGGGGCGATTGGGAAGGGGAGACAGCAGCGAGTGAGCATTCGGCGCAGAAAAGGCGGAGTGGAGGCGACGACAGAGCATCTGACGCGATGCAGGGAAGGGAGAGGCGCAATCGACGATGGGAGGGGCGCCATTCGATAGTGGAGCCCAAGTAACGGCAGGGTCTCACCTTGACGTTGGGCGCCTCGTCGTGCCATTGCGGGTCGTCGCGCCACGCCTGCATCTGCTCCTTGAGTGTCTGCTGCCAGCGCACCGTGCCCGCCTTGTACGGCCCCATCTCCACCACCGCCTCCTCCGCCCCTCCTCTCCTTCTACTCTCGCACGCGGCGGCTCCCATTGATGCTCGACCCAGACTCAAGCTGTGCAAGGCGAATCAAACGAGCGCGATTGTAGCTCCTGTTGGTGGCGTTATTCTGCACTTCGAGGCCCAACGCGATCGCGTGGCGGAATACGGATGACCGAGGCAGCGTAACAGATTATACGGGCCTTAATTTTCGCTACTGTAGGGAGTCTTGGCGATGATCGTGAATCTACGCTCAGCATGAATGAGGGTGAATGGAAGCTAGTCAGTTGAAAATGGATAAAGAAGCTGGTGAATAAAAAAGCTCAGATTTGCATCCCTCGCGTCATCAGCGTGCCACTCCCCATCTCCCGGCACAGACCCGCGTCGCCATCCCCACACACCCAACCTCCGCCTGCCTTCTCCAGAAACCCCTTTTTCCTCCACTCGTTGCCTCGCGTTGACCGCAGAGTGCCCCGCCCAGACCAACAACAACCAGCGCTCCCCGCACCACCCCCACCGCCCCTACACACGTCAGCTCACCACCATCCGTAACTGTACATCGTGCGCGCCTCACACTCACACCTTGGCTTTGAATTCGCGGCTCGGTGCTCCCCCTCACCCCCTTTTGCTGACCTGGTTTTCGATGTCGCCGATGTGTCACAGCTGCGTTCTGTCGTGGAAGTGTCGAAGCTCACAGATGAAACGCAAAGCGCCGAGCTTTCCTAATGGGGCAGCCCCTACAGTAACCTCAGCGCCAAGTGTTCGCCAAGACGTCGACATGACACTCGCTGCCCGTGGCACATTGGGGAAGTTGATGTGCTTTGGTCCGTTCACCACGTGGCGAAGTGTTGGCATGACGCCAGCTGCCTCTGCAAGGCTCTGGAGAGACCCAGATTCCAACCGCCAGACGTCACTTTTGACCAACCTGGGAGTTATACACGTGGACCTAGGATCTCCTGAAATGATGCTCCGCGAGCACGAGCGAAACCTCTGGCTGCCAGTGACTTTCGCGAAGCTAGTCGCCTCAAATCCATGGAGGAGTAGTGACGTGAGCGATTGAAACTCGATATAAGGGCGTGTCGTTTTCGGCCAATATCCTACCGAACAGTTTTAATGTTATATTTGATCCTTCTGAAAAGCAATTCATCTTACCAAACCGCATTCGGACGAACTCTTAGGTTAGGACACACCCTACTCTACTGAAAAGTTAGTGTCAATGTTTAACATCTTCAAAATATTTAAACCAACTATCCTAGCTCCGCCTTAGTTATCATTATCACTCCCAGCATATGAATCTACATGAACAGTTATTCCTTTATAAGAAAAATCCCATATCATGAGATGTGCACTCGATCTAAACATAGCACTGTCGGGCTCAAACCACCAACACAATGACAAGCTTATGTACAATCACACTCCACATGACAACTCAAGTAGCGCTCGCTCAATCATCCAGTTCCTCTTCGCCTGTCTCAGGCCCCTCAAACATCTCTTCCAGCGGTGGCGGTGGCACAGGCATGCACGCTTGCCCTCTCTCCCCCGACATGACACACAGTGCCTCCGCATCCCTGAGAGCAGCGTTGAGGTCGATGTGGCAACTGAGGTCGTTGGCAAACTTGAGGAGCGAATCAAACTCCATCTGCCCACACCACACCACCTCCTCCGTTAGCCAAACTGTTCCTAGCTCTGTGGAACAAGACCCATCACCCGCCTTGTATATGAACCCACAAACATGTCCCACCCATGACGAACCTAACCCCCCCAACACCCCTGCCCACCTGCTCGTCCATGATGCGGCGGCGGTGGCGCTTGAGCACGGCGGCGGCCACGAACAGGTGGAAGTGCTCCGACAGGTGGCAGCTCCACAGCGCCTCCCACAGCCGACACGTGCCCTCAAACTCAAACTCCCTAAAGGGCAGCAGCGCGAGGGATGATGCACCGCGCACACGAGGGGGAAAAGAGTGGGTTACTCATGGTGGAACCGGTTCCTCATGCAGCGCAGCATAGACAGGTGCAAGTGGGGAACGGTGCACACAATATTGCCATTCACTGCTCCCTACCGCACGGCTCACACCCACTCACCGCTTGAAGCGCACAAGGATCCATCGGAAGCAGAAGAAGAAGTTGAGGCAGTCCACCGACTCCAGGTACTCGTACAGTGGCGGGTCCAGCAGCCGCATCAGCTGGGGGGGGGAATGGAGGGGGGTGGCGAGGGAATGAGAGGCAGCATGCCTGGGGCAATCAAGTGTGGCAACAAGAGCGCAAAATAAATGAAGAGAAAAGGGCGGGTGAGGCAGAGGACAGGTGGAAAACGGATGTCGCCATGTGCTGCGAATGCGCATGTGCTGTGAGTGCGCATGTGATGTGAATGCGCATGTGCTGTGAGTGCGCATGTGCATGCACCTTGGAGAGCGCGCAGAGCTGGGCGTGCATGCCGCTCTGGTCGCGGTGGAAGTTGGGCGCCATGGCGTCCATGAACACCGTGAACGCCCAGAAGCTCTCCTCCTCCTCCTCTACCACCATCATCAGCGGCGCCAACAGGTCGCCCATGCCCTGGGGGGGGAAGAGGAGTCACGATGGACACAACCAGGTGGGACACAGACGAGTGTGAGACGGAACCTGGGCAGACGAACAGGCATGACGAGAGTAGCAGCGCGCCTGATAGCAGCCTCCAGCTGACCTGGCAGTAGCCTCCAGCTGACCTGGCAGTAGCCTCCAGCTGACCTGGCAGTAGCCGAGGTCGAAGTTGTAGAAGGAGTAGGTGACGAGGATGCGGCGCAGGCGCTGCAGATTCCCGTTGCCCTCGCCCGCAAAGAAGGGCAAATGCCGGTCCGTGCGCACCTGGTGGCAGCCGCACGGCGCAAGGGGCAGTGGGAGGGCCACGAGGGAAGACGTGGAGACGGGTAGGTGAGAGGGGAGGAAACTGGCACCATGCAGGGAAGGGAAGACGGCACTATAGGGACGGAAATAACATGGAGGGCAGGGCGAGGCAGGGCGAGGCAGGGCGAGGGGCGCACCACGTCCTTGTCGATGCGGCTGCAGCGCTCGCGGTACTTGGTGAAGCGCCGCGCCTGCTGCTCGCTGATGGACTGCCGTGAGTGGCATGCATGGGGGGGGGGCGATGCAGCATGCACAAGACACAGACATGGCAGAGGAGAGCATACGACGTATGAGTGATCATGTGCCAGCATGGGTACCTCGTGCATGAGTCTAGTTTTGAGGCGCCTCAAAATTAGCCTCGTGCATGAAGCGACGCGCACGCAGGAGTTACCCCATGCAGCAACACGCATCTGACACGCGATGGCGCCCGTAAGCCCTGTGCACGCAGCTGCCGCCCACCTGCCACTGCTGCAGCAGCGCCTTGTACCCGGTGCTCTGCTGCTGCCGCAGCGCCGCCTGCTCCTCGTGGCTCGCATCCCACGGCACGTAGCCCAGCAACCGCGGCCACACCTGCAGGCGGAATGGGGCGTGGCATGGGTGTGATTGATTGGCATCGGATGGAATGAGATGGGTCTGTTAGCGACATGTCAAGCTAGTGCGCATCCATCTATGCCACCAGCGCGTGCGCCCATGCATCCCATCCACAGCACCCACGCACCTGTGCACGGAGCGCGGGCTGCACCCCGCTGTAGAAGACGCGGCGCAGCACGGCATCGCGGTTGGCCTCGCTGATGCGCCCCTCGCTGTCCTGGTACCCCAGCCACTGTGGGGGGGGAGGAGGGCGAGGGGAGGAGCGGAGGTCAAGGGGGGCGGGATGGAAGCAGATGCAGAGGCGTTGATAAGAATGCCATCACGGTGCAGGGGGGAGAAGCTCATGTGCATGGCAGCAGGGCGCACAACTGACCTCCTCAGGAGAGAGTGGCGGCAGCAGCGGGCGAGCAGGCACGAGCGACGAGGAGTTGTCCTGCCAGGGACACATGCACGCAGGCGACATGCACTGTTGGCATTGAAACAAGCACGGGCATGAGATAGGACACCAAAGAGAGGGCCTGGGAAGAAGACAGGAGGATGCAGAGGAAGGAGCAGAGCATGGGGGCGGCATGGGGGCGGCATGGGGGCGGCATGGGGGCGGCATGGGGGTGGCACCTGGAAGTCGTCCAGCAGCTCGAACTCGCCCACCTCCGTGCTCTCGCCCGCACTGCCCTGCTCGCATGCACACATGGCGGCATACAAGCATCAGGGGCAAACAGAGGGGGACAGATCCACAGATTGATGAGAAGGGGGAGGAGCGAATATGGAGGGCGAGGAGCTGCTATGGACTCATGTATGGGTGCAGAGGGGTACGATGAAGGGGTCAGCACACACACTCGTCGTATCCTATGCCCTCATTCCGCCACTCTATCACGCCTCACAACCCCCAGCCACCCACCTTGATGGTGCTCAGGCGACTCAAGCTGCCCTCGCCCTCCCCTTCCTCCGCCTCCACCTCCGCCTCGTCATCCTCTTGCCACTCCCTGTCCCCCCCCCACGCCCCCCCCCACGCATCAGCAGCGGGCATGCGCTCCTCCGCGTCCCTGCCGCCCAGCAGCCGCCCCTCGTAACCCCCCATGCCGCCCATGCCGCCTATGGCCTCCCCCACAGCAGCGGGTGCGGCGGCCAGCATGCCGCGCGCTAGGCGAGTCACGGCGGAGAAGCCCCCCAGCACCTGCACGGATGGGGTGGGGGGGGGAACGGGAAGATGGTGCACGGAGGGCGCTACAGCAGCAGCGTGCACGGAGGGCGCTACAGCAGCAGCGTGCACGGAGGGCGTTACAGCAGCAGCGTGCTCGCGCTGGAGGAATGCCATCCCCGCAAAAACGATCGGCTCAATGATTGATGGCACCACCTTAAGATGGTGGGATCTTCCCACCTGCATCGAGATGTCCTTCGCCACGTCAGCAGGCTGCTGCCGCTGCACGCGTTGCTGCTGCTCCCTGTGCTGGTGTCCTCGCCTCCTCGCTGCGTCTTGCATGGCCCTCTCATTCGCCGCCTCCAGAATCCGCAGCATCTCCGCTTCCGAAGGCTGCTCCTCACTGCCCCCCTCCCCTGCCCCCTCCCTACCCTCCGCGCTCTTCCTGGCTGCCTGCTGCCTGGCCAGCTCGTGGGCGGCCTCCAGCATGCGCAGCATCTCCTCCTCGCTCGGGTACTCCTGCTGCTCCCCCTCCTCCCCCCCCCCATCCCCTACAACCTTCTCCCCCCTAGCCCCTCCCCCCTCGCCTTCCTTCACTCCGCCCTCTCCTCCCGTCTCCCGCGTGCCAGCAGCAGTGCGCTTGAGCGTTGCGCTGCGCAGGGCGTGCAGCGACGGGGGCAGCTTGTTCCGCGGCACCAGCCGCGGCTCCTCGCCCTCCTCGCCCTCCTCGCTCACACTGCCCAGCGCCCGGCCCCCCAGCTGCCCCCCGGCAGACGCACTGCGCTCGCCCACGCGGTACCCTGCTGGCCCCACTGCGCCCCTTCTCCCCCCATCCCCAGCGCCAGGAGCAGCGGCAGCAGAGGGCGGGCCAGCGGCAGCGGAGGGGCGGAAGGGCGCGGCGTGGCGGCGGGCGGCGGGGAGCGACACGGAGCGGAAATTGGCGGAGGCAGGGGGCTCGGAGGGCTCGGTGGTGGGCGGGTCCCACAGGTGCAGCTGCGCCAGACTCCTCTGAAAGGGGGGGAGGGGGCGGGGGGAGGGGAGGGGATCAAGATGAGATGTGTGGTTGGATGGCGCATGAACGAGCCCACCCTGCACGCGTGCCCTGCGTGCACATGTGTGGTTGGATGTTTTCGCCCCAGCAGCACGGACCTGCAGCAGGTCGAAGGACTCGTTGACGTTGTACACGTTGGGGTCGTCCAGCGAGCGCACGAGCATGGCGTGCTGCTTGAGCACGTGCAGAAACTCCTTCACCCCCCCGTCGTAGAAGTACAGCGGCGGGAACGCCACGCCTGCAGCGCCGCCCGGCAGCAGGCACGAGGTGATGGTAGGGAGGCAATGGGGAGGGGGAAGGTGAACGGAATGGGCAATCATGCGGGTCAAGGAGCGCCGGGTGGAGAGGAATGCGAGTATGAGAAACACGCTGGGTGGAGAAGTGGAAGGGCTTGCAGACCTGAGGTGAGCACAATGATGATGTAGTGCCATCTGACCTGAGGTGAGCACGATGATGATGTAGTGCCATCTGACCTGAGGTGAGCACGATGATGATGTAGTGCCATCTGACCTGAGGTGAGCACGATGATGATGTAGTGCCATCTGACCTGAGGTGAGCACGATGATGATGTAGTGCCATCTGACCTGAGGTGAGCACGATGATGATGTAGTGCCAGCCGAAGGGTGGTGTGTGGCGGCGGATGGACCGCATCTCCGACACCGCCACGGAGCGGATGGAGTAGAGCAGACTGCCGCGCGCTATGCCTGGGGGGGGAGGGCAGGGGGGGGGAATGGGAGCAGAGTGAATGCATCACAAGAAACGGCAGAGAGAGCTCACAAAAAATGCATTCTAGCAACATACCTGACAACAAGAGTGTTACCTGGACAAGACGATTACCACAGAGACCAGATACTGTCAGCACAGATGCGTGACAAGCAGCATGCACGAGTCAATCACCCGGATTGCATCCCCACGCACACCTGTGGGTGTGCCGGCAGGTGAGGAGGGCTCGTACGGAATCCAGTTCTGCACGCGGGGCCGAGGCCCGGGAGGGAGGGGGCGGACCAGATGGGATGGGGCATGCGAGATGGGCGAGATGGCATGGGGCATGTGAAATGGGAGGGATGGCATGGGGCATGTGAGATGGGCGGGATGGCATGTGGCATGTGAGATGGGAGGGATGGCATGGGGCATGTGAGATGGGAGGGATGGCATGGGGCATGTGAGATGGGAGGGATGGCATGGGGCATGTGAGATGGGAGGGATGGTATGGGGCATGTGAGATGGGAGGGATGGGATGGGGCATGTGAGATGGGAGGGATGGCATGGGGCATGTGAGATGGAAGGGATGGCATGGGGCATGTGAGATGGGAGGGACGGCATGGGGCATGTGAGATGGAAGGGACGGCATGGGGCATGTGAGATGGGAGGGATGGCATGGGGCATGTGAGATGGGAGGGATGGCATGGGGCATGTGAGATGGAAGGGATGGCATGGGGCATGTGAGATGGGAGGGACGGCATGGGGCATGTGAGATGGGCGGGATGGCATGGGGCATGTGAGATGGGAGGGATGGCATGGGGCATGTGAGCTGGGAGGGATGGCATGGGGCATGTGAGATGGGAGGGATGGCATGGGGCATGTGAGATGGGAGGGATGGCATGGGGCATGTGAGGTGGGAGGGATGGCATGGGGCATGTGAGATGGGAGGGATGGCATGGGGCATGTGAGATGGGAGGGATGGCATGGGGCATGTGAGATGGGAGGGATGGCATGGGGCATGTGAGATGGGAGGGATGGTATGGGGCATGTGAGATGGGAGGGATGGGATGGGGCATGTGAGATGGGAGGGATGGTATGGGGCATGTGAGATGGAAGGGATGGCATGGGGCATGTGAGATGGGAGGGACGGCATGGGGCATGTGAGATGGAAGGGACGGCATGGGGCATGTGAGATGGGAGGGATGGCATGGGGCATGTGAGATGGGAGGGATGGCATGGGGCATGTGAGATGGAAGGGATGGCATGGGGCATGTGAGATGGGAGGGACGGCATGGGGCATGTGAGATGGGCGGGATGGCATGGGGCATGTGAGATGGGAGGGATGGCATGGGGCATGTGAGCTGGGAGGGATGGCATGGGGCATGTGAGATGGGAGGGATGGCATGGGGCATGTGAGATGGGAGGGATGGCATGGGGCATGTGAGGTGGGAGGGATGGCATGGGGCATGTGAGATGGGAGGGATGGCATGGGGCATGTGAGATGGGAGGGATGGTATGGGGCATGTGAGATGGGAGGGATGGCATGGGGCATGTGAGATGGGAGGGATGGTATGGGGCATGTGAGATGGGAGGGATGGGATGGGGCATGTGAGATGGGAGGGATGGCATGGGGCATGTGAGATGGAAGGGATGGCATGGGGCATGTGAGATGGGAGGGACGGCATGGGGCATGTGAGATGGAAGGGACGGCATGGGGCATGTGAGATGGGAGGGATGGCATGGGGCATGTGAGATGGGAGGGATGGCATGGGGCATGTGAGATGGAAGGGATGGCATGGGGCATGTGAGATGGGAGGGACGGCATGGGGCATGTGAGATGGGCGGGATGGCATGGGGCATGTGAGATGGGAGGGATGGCATGGGGTATGTGAGGTGGGAGGGATGGCATGGGGCATGTGAGATGGGAGGGATGGCATGGGGCATGTGAGATGGGAGGGATGGCATGGGGCATGTGAGGTGGGAGGGATGGCATGGGGCATGTGAGATGGGAGGGATGGCATGGGGCATGTGAGGTCGGAGGGATGGCATGGGGCATGTGAGATGGGAGGGATGGCATGGGGCATGTGAGATGGGAGGGATGGTATGGGGCATGTGAGATGGGAGGGATGGCATGGGGCATGTGAGATGGGAGGGATGGCATGGGGCGTGTGAGATGGAAGGGATGGCATGGGGCATGTGAGATGGGAGGGATGGCATGGGGCATGTGAGATGGAAGGGATGGCATGGGGCATGTGTGATGGAAGGGATGGCATGTGGCATGTGAGATGGAAGGGATGGCATGGGGCATGTGAGATGGAAGGGATGGCATGTGGCATGTGAGATGGAAGGGATGGCATGTGGCATGTGAGATGGGAAAGATTCCCGTGTGTGGACGGCGTCAGAAGGGGGGCTCACGAGGAAGACGTCGGCGCCGTGCTTGACTCACGAGGAAGACGTCGGCGCCGTGCTTGACGAGCCGGAGCTGCCCCGCGATCTTCTTGCTGGACGACGCCGACGGGTGCACCGCCACGTTGCCCTTCACAAACACCACCTCCCGCGCCACCCCCGCCCCCGCCGCCGCCGCCGTGTCCTGCGCGCCACCCCCGCCAGCACCCTCTTGCGCCCTGCTCCCCCCTTCGCTCCCCTCTATCCTCCTGCTCCCGCCATTCTCACCCGGGCCCGGCTTGCCCCGCACCTCCCGCGCCTGCGCATCCGGGCTGCTGCTGCCGCCGCCGCCGCCTCCGCCGCCGCCGCCGCTGCTGTGATCGCTCCCCCTGGCTGGTGATTGCTGCGCGGCCTTGAATCGGCGCTGCGGCGGCGTGGTGGTGGAGCGGATGTAGCGCGCGCTGCTGGACGGCACCGACGACGACGACGGCAGCGAGCGGGCATTCGCAAAAGGAGGTGGATTCGCCGGCACCTGAGGAGCAGCGGAGAACGGCGGGACTGTCAGGTCTGAAAGTGCGCGCGTGAATCCAAACGGAAACATGATTTCGCGACGACCGACGAGTGGATGTTAGTAGATTGAAAGCGAATGAGAATCTAGAAATGGCGGATGTGAGCGACAGCAGGTGAAAGGGGTGCTTTGAGTGGAGGCACGAGTGGTGTGTTGGACGTGGAAGGCGCTGGCAGCGCCGAAGCTGGCGACGGAGAACGAGTGGTTGAAAGTGGCCAACGGCACTGACGAGAGAAACTACTGAAGCTATATCGACAACATCACCAACGACATACTAACAATAGCGGCCAGCACTCGAACAAAAAGAAATCGAGACCGGGCCGCCGGTTAGACGAAGCGTTAATGAAGGCATGGATTCTTAGCGCGTCGGACCTCTCGGAATTGATTGCGGAATGACGAGTGAGCCGTGGGCGGCGGAGGAACGTGGTCGTCATCGTTGGGCTCCACGCTCACACTCCTATCGCGCGCCATGCCTTCGCCGCTATTACACGGTTCAGTCACACCCACTCAGTTAAGCTCACACCGCGAAGCTATCTAAACGCAAAAGCTATACCAGAAACTGCTAGCGTATGTGCTGTCGCCTGGCTGGGAAGGCCATTCACAGGAAGCACTTAGAGGCAGCAGGTCATGCACTTTATTCTCGCTTTGACTCGAGTGCTTCACGGGAAGGCCGTGGAGGATTCCTGCGAGCAGCACAGGACAACTCAATCCAGGTGCGCACGGCACCACCGCGCCCAGGGGGAGCCGCGGAGTGACAGATGAGTGATGGGTGACTGGGTCGCTCACTCGCTGCCTGTCGTACGGTGTGCGAGGGATGTTTCAGGCGACCGTCACGATGGGGAGCGGAATGTGACGGGGAATGTGATTGGCATGCGATGCGTGGGGAGGGGATGAATGGGCCCGCTCATGCCGAATTTATCCGCGTGGGACGAATGCCGCCGCTGACGCGCAACTTTGCGCGCTTTCCCCCTGGTTCGGCGGGACTGGGGTGCGTGCAGAACACGCTTGACGAATGGCTCGAGACAGTTAGGGCGTGTCCTAAGCGTTCGTTTTTGGCAAAAACCCGACCGAACCATTTTATAGAGTTATTCATTCTTCCTGAAACGTAATTCACCTTACTCAACCACATTCGGACGTACGTCTAGGACACGCCCTTATCCAGTCACGCAGCATTTCGCGAGGGTTGAGTGAGGTGGCCTGTGGCCACTGAACTTTCAATTGGCTGGGCAATATGAACGTCAGGTCTCAGAGAGAGGTAAACAGTGTTACAGAGCGGTGAAGTAGGATGCAGTGGTGAGCCGTCATTCTGAAATGCCACCACTAGCCTGGAATGAGGTGGTTGGTTGGCCTCTGATAGAATGTTGGTGCGTTACAAGATGGTGCGTTACAGAATAGACGATCTACTGCGCAAGCCCAAGGCTTCCATTATAGATTGTTGAGGTCTAGGTCCGCACGCACATTATTGATATTTGTTCGACCATGGCCCCATGGCTGATCGGTGTGCCGTTCGGTCAGTCAGAAGCTTGGCTCTATGATCCGTGCTTAGTCTGCCATTCCTAGTTTCATTCTACAACCAATGACCGTTATTGCGGCGCGATGGCTTCAAGACGGTTGCGGCCTCATTGGCTGCAACGATCACCGATGGCGAAGCTACTGCGATTCCTCCGAGTTCCCTCGTACCTATTCCTAATTCTCTCAGCATCCGCGGTTGCAGCTGCCACTCTTACCACCCGCCAATCCAATCAGCCGTTTCCCGCCTTCCCTAATCGGCTTTCTGCCCTTCTCAACAATTCGCGCGAGCCATACCGCGAGCGCCGCAGACTCGTGCTGCCGTCGCATCTGGCTCGCCCGCACTCCACGGACGACACGGACCTGCCGTGCGGCGACAGCTGGCAGCGCAACTACACCGCCTTCCACTCCGCCGCCCGCGCTGCCGCGCGCGATCCGTCGGGGCGGGAGCAGCAGAAGGCGGAGCTGCGGTACCTGACGTTCACGTGCACGCCGGGGCTGTGCGGGGGCATCGGGGACCTGCTCATCGGGCTCGTGTCGTCGTTCCTGCTCTGCCTGCTGCAGGACCGCATCCTCATCATCGACTACCCCTGGATGGACGACGCCTTCGAGCCCAGCCACGTTGACTGGCGCCTGGGAGACGATGTGCCCATGGAGCCCGCCAGGGCGTTCCCCCCGGGCCGCCGAGACAGGCGCAGGCGCGGGCAGGCAGACCCGAACGAGGTGCAGCAGGGGGAGGTGCTGCGCGTGAACATGCACAACGCGGACCTGCCGAGCAACGTGACAGCGTTCTTCGAGCGCATGAGCGAGGCGAGGAACGTGCGGCTCATGTGGAACCGAGGGCTGCTCGTGCGGCTGTACGAGGAGAACGGCGCGTGGTGGCACGAGCTGCACAGACGAGGACTCAGACTTCCGTCTGCGTTTGGGTGCATCCTGCGGTACCTCATCATGTCCGTGGTACCTCATCATGTCCGTGGTACCTGGTACCTCATCACATCTCTTTGCTCATTAGCGTGCATGCGGCGTGTATGCAGTTTGGTAACAAGGTTGCTTGCTGAGCAGTGCTTGCATTGCATTTGCTGTGTGAACGACGTTGCACAAGGTCATTGTTCAGTCTGTCACTTTTCTTGTTCACACTATCCAACCCAGCCGCCAAACCCCTCGCAAACACGGACCCCTCTTCAGCTCTACACCTCGGCTCTGTGTGTCCCCCGCTGGTGCGTGGGCAGGCCGAAGCCAGCAGTGCGGCACATGGTGAAGGAGGGCATCGCACGGTTGACCTACCCGGGGACGGCGTCCATCTGTATCCATGTGCGCACCAGCGACATCTCCACGTGGGAGCAGCCGAAGGTGGGCGAGAAGGTCAAGCCGCGCAAGGAGAATGTCAAGCGCCTGCTCAAGGGCTCCCAGCGCCTCTTCGCCTGCGCCCAGGTGGGTCGCTTTGGCGATTTATGTGCTCTTTGCTGCCTTGCTCAGCATCATATGATCGGGACTGAGTATTCCACGTGGCCCATGCAGAGGCTGGAGGACTACTGGTATTCGAGTGACGCGCCTGGCATGTCAGTCAAATGGGTGCTCATGAGCTCATCTCTCGGACTGAAGCAGGCTGCTCAGAGGAAATATGGCAGCAAGGTAACAGTGGAGCCTCGTTGAGTGGTGTTTGTGAAATCTGCTATTTATTCGAAGAAGTCACCTCATGCCCCTTAGCCTTGCTCGATCCCTGCCGCCCTTTTCATCCCTGCCCTGGTGCAGGTCATGACAACCGATATACAGCCCCTTCACATTGAGCTTCAAGGCTTCTCAGACGAGCAGAGAGCAGAAGCGTTCCAATCCACCGTGGCAGAGTGGCTGCTGTTTACACATTGCAACCATTTTATCTTCACAGAGTCAGGTTTCTCCAAGACAGCAGCACTCTACTCATTGAGAAGACTATCAGCCCACATGATGGCTCGATGGGCTGACTCGTGGAGAGACCACTCTTGGAAAGATAAATGTGACCCGGAGGAGCCCACCAGGATTACGGTGCTGGGAAATACAACCCGTTGGAGTGGGATTTAGGACATGCAACGACTACTCTAGAAGCATACCGTATTAACAGTTCGTTTGTTCGCATGAATAAGATCCTTCTCGGGAAGACTGAGTACAGTTCCCGTTTCTCGGGTCGAAGGCAATATCGAGAGTCGGGGTTCTCGGGGGTTTTCCGGTTGGTCCCACCAAGCCATCATGCGAGACACGTCAAGGGTCCCCCAGCCTGATAGGTGTACGCCTATCCGGCAGGCTGGACTGCCCCACGAATCCGCATGCCGATCAGCAAAACATTCGCTACTGCCCGGTGGACCTCGGCAAATGGCCAATTTTGTAGTCTCTGGTTGTGGAGAGGGAAACTGTACTATATGCGAGTTTATCGTCATCAAGAAACTGCCCCCAGGGCACCTTTGCCCGTCCGCGAATAATATCCGCGCAGACTCCGCCCTCCCTGCTTCGCTCGGCTCAGGCTCTTCCCCTGCAAAACGCAGCTGGCTTGCAGCGCGCAGTTCTTCCTCGCCCTCCCTCCGCTCCGCTGCCCTCTCTCACGGAAAGCAGGCTGGCCTAGCAGTCAAAGGAGAGGCGAGAGTCAAGTTTGCAACGGCATTATCGGTAAACTGGACTTGACGGATATTTGTGCTATCTAATTTAGGCGTTGACTGCCTCGTACGTGGTCAGCCGCCATGGCCGAAGTGAGTTCAGTTAATCATTTTCCTAATGAAGTCGCACGCGTTTACCTTTTTAGTGACTGCAAGGGCCAATTTTTGCATCAAGTTCCCACTCTATCCGTCCTGGATTTCTCTTTCCTGTGTGCGCATTATTATGTGTCCCTACCGCTGGTCAGACTAAGAAACGAGTGCCAACAATGCGCGTGCTGGCGACGCCATGTCAAGGTACGTTGCCGGCCGTTGCTGCCGTCCCTGCTTTGAAGTGAGTGCCGCGTTGGCTTCATGGCAGCTGCATTTCACCCAAGAGACCGAAATCTCTCTCGAGGGTTTATTAGCATACTGGGGGAAGATTTATTTTCCGTCTCCCGTTCGACCGTGCTCCCCTGCACGCAGAGCGGTTCATCGACCTGTACGACTTAGGGCAGAAGCTGGGGTCGGGGCAGTTCGGCACGACGTACGTGTGTCGCGAGAAGGCGACGGGCCACAAGTGGGCGTGCAAGTCCATCCCCAAGAGCAAGCTGCTCACCGAGAACGACGTCGAGGACGTCAGACGCGAAGTGGCCATCCTCTACCACGTGCAGGTACAGAGTGATAGTCGCAATGTCGAACCGCGAGCAAGTAGTTATGCACCGTAGCATTGTCTAGACTCATTGAGGCAGAAATGTCCAACGCAATGTCGGATTTTCGGCACGGCTACTCGCGCTTCTGTTGAGCGATGTGCATCTGAAGGCGCATTTCGGTATGCCAGTCCAGCGCTGGTCACATTCGCCGTGGCTAGAGTGCAATCCCCCCCCCCCCTTGGCCTCCCCCCGTGCATGTCGGCTGCGGTGGTGCAGAACCAGCCGAACATCGTGAACATGAAGGGCGCGTACGAGGACCGCGACTACGTGCATATCGTCATGGAGCTCTGCTCGGGCGGCGAGCTCTACGACACCATCATCGAGCGCATCGAGGCGCGCGGCGTCCCCTACTCGTACGTCCCTCTTGCGCCTTGCCCCTCTCCGTGTTATCCGATTCCCTGAGTTTCTCAATATCCCTCCATTGCACGCCTCCTCCTCGCCTCTCCTCCCGCTCCCTCATTCCCTCCCACCCCTTCCTCCCGCCCACCTGCGTCTGTCCCCGCAGCGAGCACGACGCGGCGGAGATGGCGCGCGTGATCGTGCGCGTGGTGGAGCGGTGCCACGCGCTGGGCATCGTGCACCGCGACCTCAAGCCCGAGAACTTCCTGCTCTCGTCGCGCGACCCCGACACGGCGGAGCTCAAGGCCACGGACTTCGGCCTCTCGTGCTTCTACAAGGGCGACGGCATGGCGCGCCACTGCGGCAGCCCCATGTACATGGCGCCCGAGGTCGTGCGCTGGCGCTCCGCCACGCACCTCGTGGGCAAGCGCCCCGCCAAGTACGGCCCCGAGGTGGACATCTGGAGCGCGGGGGTCATCATCTACGCGCTGCTCTGCGGCTTCCCGCCCTTCTACCACAGTGAGTCCACCACAGTGAGCCGCCCTTCTACCACAGTGAGTCCACCACAGTGAGCCGCCCTTCTACCACAGTGAGTCCACCACAGTGAGCCGCCCTTCTACCACAGTGAGCCGCCCTTCTACCACAGTGAGCCGCGCTTCTACCACAGTGAGTCCACCACAGTGAGTCGACCACCGCGGGTCCAGGGTTGCACACTGGCAGAAAAGCATGCTCTGGCAGTTCGGTGCGACTCTCGCCCTTCACCTGCTCCTTCCCTCCTCGCCGGCCTGCTCACCGCACCCTGCCATCCCGCCATGCCCCCCCCCCCCTGCCCCCCGGTGCCGCGGCAGGCAGCCACTCGACCAAGGAGATCTTCAAGGCTGTGCTGCGCGCCAACCCGTCCTTCGCCATCCCGCCGTGGCCGTCCATCTCGGAGCACGCCAAGGACCTGCTGCGCCAAATGCTCAACCCCGACCCCGCCAAACGACCCTCCGCGCACGAAGTGCTCTGTCAGTCGCGCACCCCCACATGCTCCCGTTGCCCCTCCTCTATAACCTTCCCCCCTTTCCTCCTCACATTCGCTCTCCCGCCTCCCTCTCACTCCCATTTATGACTCCTTCATCAGCCTGCGCCCCCCTCCCCCGCCCCCCCCCCGCCTCTCTCCCCCTCCCTGCCCCCTCTCCCCCTCCCCCTGTGTGCGCGGAGCAGGCCACCCGTGGCTGGCGGAGGCGGGTGCGGCGCAGACAGAGCCGCTGCCGCCCGTGGTGCTGACGCGGCTGAAGCAGTTCACGTCCATGGTCAAGATGAAGCGCATGGCCATGAAGGTACGGTCAAGATGAAGTGCATGGCGATGAAGGTACGGTCAAGATGAAGTGCATGGCGATGAAGGTACGGTCAAGATGAAGTGCATGGCGATGAAGGTACGGTCAAGATGAAGTGCATGGCCATGAAGGTACGGTCATCAAGATGAAGCGCATGGCCATGAAGGTACGGTCAAGATGAAGTGCATGGCCATGAAGGTACGGTCAAGATGAAGTGCATGGCGATGAAGGTACGGTCAAGATGAAGTGCATGGCCATGAAGGTACGGTCATCAAGATGAAGCGCATGGCCATGAAGGTACGGTCAAGATGAAGTGCATGGCCATGAAGGTACGGTCAAGATGAAGTGCATGGCCATGAAGGTACGGTCAAGATGAAGTGCATGGCTATGAAGGTACGGTCAAGATGAAGTGCATGGCCATGAAGGTACGGTCAAGATGAAGCGCATGGCTATGAAGGTACGGTCAAGATGAAGCGCATGGCCATGAAGGTACGGTCAAGACGAAGCGCATGGCCATGAAGGTACGGTCAAGATGAAGCGCATGGCCATGAAGGGTACGGTCAAGATGAAGTGCATGGCCATGAAGGTACGGTCAAGATGAAGTGCATGGCCATGAAGGTACGGTCAAGATGAAGTGCATGGCCATGAAGGTACGGTCAAGATGAAGTGCATGGCTATGAAGGTACGGTCAAGATGAAGTGCATGGCCATGAAGGTACGGTCAAGATGAAGCGCATGGCCATGAAGGTACGGTCAAGATGAAGCGCATGGCCATGAAGGTACGGTCAAGACGAAGCGCATGGCCATGAAGGTACGGTCAAGATGAAGCGCATGGCCATGAAGGTACGCACAATGCGACGTCTAAAATGCTGAATTGGCTGGCAATTGGGAAAGTCTACCAAACACACCAACGGGAGCAAGAAGTCAGTACAGAGAAGAGACAATGTGGGAGTGATTGTTAGTTAAAAGCGGGGAACACTTGATTGTGTGTGGCCGCTTGCCACACTCCCACACATGGTCACTGACATGAGCCCTTGGTGGCATGCGGGCCTGGTGCCCACTCAATGGCGCACACCATCCCATCCTCATCCTCCCCTCAACCCCCCTCCCCCTCCCCGCCCTCCCCCGCCCCTATGCAACTGTGCCTTACCTCGTCCCGCTGGGCCGGCCCCCCCTTGAACCCATTGCCCATGGCCCGTGCCCCGTGGGCCATGGCAGGTGATCGCGGAGGGGCTGAAGGAGGAGGAGATCCGCGGGCTGCGCGAGCTGTTTGAGGCGATGGACACGGACCACAGCGGCACCATCACCATGACGGAGCTCAGGGACGGACTCAAGAAGTACGGCGCCAACCTCAGCGACGCCGAGATCAGCCGCATCATGGAGGAGGTGAGGCCAGCCGCATCATGGAGGAGGTGAGGCGGGCAGAAACATGGGGAGGTGAGGAGCGTGTGGTTGGGTGGGTGGCTTGCTCGGAGGAACAGGCATAGCACAATCGCCCATGCATGGAATGGGCATAGCACAATCGCCCATGCATGGAACGGGCATAGCACAATCGCCCATGCATGGAACGGGCATAGCACAATCGCCCATGCATGGAACAGGCATAGCACAATCGCCCATGCATGGAACAGGCATAGCACAATCGCCCATGCATGGAACGGGCATAGCACAATCGCCCATGCATGGAACGGGCATAGCACAGTAGACCATGCATGGAACGAGCATAGCACAATCGCCCATGCATGGAACGAGCATAGCACAATCGCCCATGCATGGAACGGGCATAGCACAATCGCCCATGCATGGAACGGGCATAGCACAATCGCCCATGCATGGAACGGGCATAGCACAGTAGTCCATGCGTGGAATTTCTGGTATGAATCCTGTCACGCGTTTACCTTGACCCAAAACGTGCTCTCTCGGTGTTGTGTGACATGGGAATGTGCGTGGCGCATGTGCTGCATGGTGATGGCATGTGGCATGTGATGCCCCCCCAGACGGACATCGACCACAGTGGGGAGATAGAGTACGGGGAGTTCCTGGCGGCGACGCTGAATCTGAGCAAGATCGACAAGCAGGAGAACCTGCTCAAGGCGTTTGCCTTCTTTGACACGGACGGCAGCGGCACCATCACGCTGGACGAGCTGCAGAAGGCATGCGAGGAGCTCAAGTTGAGCCCCGGCGAGGTTGAGGCCATGATGCGTGAGGTCGATGAAAACAAGGTGCGCGCCCCGCTGCTCAAGGGGGAGGGGGGCATGGGACGGGTATGGGATAATTGTGCATGGTTATTGGATTTATTCGCACAACAGAATGCAGCCTGTCATGGTAATGCCAATTTCCTGGCTGCTTCTCCATTCCTTATGCCTGCAGGATGGCACGATTGACTACCAGGAGTTTGTGGCGATGATGAGGAAGACGCAGACAGGAGGCCTCACTCGCCGGGACATCATGGATGGCAACTATGGCCTCACAGATAAAGAGTTTGGAAGTGAATCATTTCGTTTCTTGCTCAGCTGACACATAGTCGCTTTGTGTTAGGGTCTTGTCACTGCCCCAAGTTTGCTCCAAATGTTCAAGTAGATACTACTGTAGTTTGACTCCGTTGTAACTTATTTACTCTTGATGATGAGGTATAGCGTTTTATTTTGCTGGCATTTTCATCTTAGTTTCTCGACTTTTGCACCTCCCATGCATCACTTGTAACTGAACAGTCGAACATCAAATCTTATGCGAGGTACGAGCAACGACGCCACCCAGGCACTCTCCACCACCCACGTACACGTCGGCTCATCCGGGTGACGTGGCTGTTTTCGGAAATGCGCCCCATTCGCCCGATTCTTGGGAATTGTGGGGGTTCGAAACGCGCAGCTGAGGGCAGGTCTAAACAGTACGTCTGATTGCGGTGCAGTAACGTGCTTTACGTTTCGAAGCGTTCAAAAAGCAACCTAGAATGGTTGGATAGGGTACTCCACGAAAACGTACTTTTTGGAACCGCCGTCAGATTGTGTCGCCATCGCCTTCACCTCCCCCCCCCCCTCACGCCCCCATTGCGCCCTCGCCTCCGCCGAGCACTGTTCAATCCGCCTCGCCCCTCCCTGCTGCCTGCCACTCATCTCTCATTCCACCTCGGCTCAAATCCGCGCCCCTCGTTCAAGCCGCATGCATGCACAGCAGCAGCCGAATATTCTTCCGCTGTTGATAATGTGGTCGCCAGTCAGGTAGGCGCGCAGCTGATCTGTGGGGCATGGCGCGGAGTCGGCAATAGGCTCCGAGAGTGGATCAGCAGAGCGCTGGCTGCACCCACCTCGATCAGTTGTCGCTGCGTCTGGTGATTTCAGGCCATGGCTGCTCTGCACCTCAGCGCCGTCGCCCAGCGCAGTACGTCACGTGGCGTCATTGTGCGCACTACCCGTCATGCACGCAATTTGCTTCCTAAATCCGTCCGACATTGTCAGTTTCGTGTATTGCGATGTAATGTTAGTTCTATCCCCACTCGACGCATCGTGCTGGTGTCATGCGTCACGCCCCCTCTCTCCCCACCACCCGACCCTCCCCAGCATGTCTCGCCCCCGCCCGGTCGTCCGACCCCGCGTCCAAGCGTCCGATCGCATGCGCGCCCGCGTCCTCGCCATGCGCCCGCCACGGGCCCTTGTCCGTCGCTGCGGCGCCGTCAGCCGCCAGGCCGCGCTCCCTCCGGCCTGATCAGAGCAGGCGACGACAGCATGCGAGGCGACTGGTTGGTCGTGCGACACCAGGCGACGAGGGCGCTATCGCACGGCGGTTGGAGGAAGCGGCAGAGGGGGAGGAGAGCATCAGGGGCGCTGGTGAAGGCGCAAGGGGCGAAGCGGCGGGAGATATAGGCGGAAATGATGCGCTGACGGCGGAGACCGGAGTGAATTCCGCGGATCGGCTAGGCGGCGGGAATGGAGCGACAGCGGTGGCATCGGAAACAGCGGAATTAACTGCTTCGCCGACGTCGTCGTCGTCGTCCCCTGCGTGGTGGAGCGCGCTGTGGGGCGCGGGCGGGTGGCAGAAGCGGTGGAGCATCGTGGTTCTCTGCTTCTTCGCCTTCCTGCTCTGCAACATGGACCGGGTGAGACACCGGGGCACGGGGGGGGGGGGGGGGGGGCGGGGACGAAGGGGTGGCACCAAGATGCATGCGCGAAAGGATCGGCGAGGAAGAGAAGGTATGGAGATGAAGCAGGTGGGCGGGTGCACGAGGAGGAAAAGGCTTATGCAGAGAACCGGGGGCACATCTCAGCCGTTCAGTCATTGGGACCGCGCAGGCGGGACGCGCCGCATTGCTTGCATGCACGACCCTGCGCTTGCTCAGGCCTCCTTGCGCGCATTCGACACCGCATGGCATGCCACCCTCATCGCACACCCCCCTGCCCACCCGTGGTTGCGCGGCGTGCAGGTGAACATGAGCATCGCCGTGCTGCCCATGGCGGAGCAGTTCCAGTGGACGCCCGCCACCGTGGGGCTCGTGCAGTCCTCCTTCTTCTGGGGCTACCTCCTCACGCAGGTGCTTTCTGCCTCCTCACGCAGGTGCTTACTGCCTCCTCACGCAGGTGCTTACTGCCTCCTCACGCAGGTGCTTACTGCCTCCTCACGCAGGTGCTTACTGCCTCCTCACGCAGGTGCTTACTGCCTCCTCACGCAGGTGCTTACTGCCTCCTCACGCACCACACATGTGGCACGCACCACACTCACCACCCGGCTCTCGCTCTCCGCCTCTATCCCCGCCTCCATGCTCGACCGTGTTGCCCACTGCCTGCCTGCCACGGCTGTGCTGCCTGAGTGCACGCCTCACGCATTCCGTCGCCCCAGTCACCACCCTCCGCGCATCTCCCCCCCTCCCCCGTCTGCCAGGTGGCGGGCGGCGTGTGGGCGGACACGATAGGCGGCAAGCAGGTGCTGGGGTTCGGCGTGGTGTGGTGGTCGCTGGCCACCGTGCTCACGCCCATCGCTGCGGGCCTCGGCCTGCCCGCGCTGCTCTTCGCCCGCGCCTGCATGGGCGTCGGGGAGGTGCGCCCCCGCCCTCCGCCCTGCTCTCCCTCCGCCCTGCTCTCCCTCCGCCCTGCTCTCCCTCCGCCCTGCTCTCCCTCCGCCCTGCTCTCCCTCCGCCCTGCTCTCCCTCCGCCCTGCTCTCCCTCCGCCCTGCTCTCCCTCCGCCCTGCTCTCCCTCCGCCTGCTCTCCCTCCGCCCTGCTCTCCCTCCGCCCTGCTCTCCCTCCGCCCTGCTCTCCCTCCGCCCTGCTCTCCCTCCCACTGCATGCCTCTCCCCGTCACATCGTCACAGCGTGTCTCCCCGCCTTGCCTGCGGGTCTGCAGCTCGTGGCCCTACTGCCCTCTCCCAGCACCCGTCGTGGCCTCCGCATCTCCATCTCCCCCACCGCCCTCTCCCCCCACCCGCCAGGGCGTGGCGATGCCAGCGATGAACAACCTGCTGTCCAAGTGGGTGCCGGTGGGCGAGCGCAGCCGGTCGCTGGCGCTGGTGTACAGCGGCATGTACCTGGGCAGCGTGGCGGGGCTCTCCCTCTCGCCCGCCATCATCCACGCCCTCGGCTGGCCCTCCGTCTTCTTCTCCTTCGGCGCCCTCGGCCTCGTGTGGTTCGCCGTGTGGCAGGGCAAGGTGGGGAGTGAGCTCATCACCTTTGGAGCATGCATGGCGGCCCATGGCAGGCCTTGGCCTTCCCTGTGCCGCCCTTTTCCACTTTCCTGTGCCCACCACCTGCGCTCACACCTGCCCTGCGTCTTCCCGCGCCCTCTATCCTCCCCCCCCTCCCCCTCCCCCCCCCAGGCGCACAGCTCGCCCGCGGAGGACCCCAGTGTGTCGGCGGCAGAGAGGGCGCTCATTGCGGGGGGAGGCAGTGGCGCACGGGGGGGGGAGGGGGAGGGCAAGGCGGGGGGGGTGCACCTGGAGGGGGGTGAGCCGCTGCGGCTGTCGACGATCCCGTGGCGGCTGCTGCTGAGCAAGGCGCCGGTGTGGGCCATCATCGTGTGCCACTTCTGCCACAACTGGGGCGTCTTCATCCTCCTCACCTGGATGCCCACCTACTACCACGACGTGAGTGCTATGCCACGCCCACCTACTACCACGACGTGAGTGCTATGCCACGCCCACCTACTACCACGACGTGAGTGCTATGCCACGCCCACCTACTACCACGACGTGAGTGCTATGCCACGCCCACCTACTACCACGACGTGAGTGCTGTGCCACGCCCACCTACTACCACGACGTGAGTGCTATGCCACGCCCACCTACTACCACGACGTGAGTGCTCGCCCTTCCCCCTGCTGAGTGCCCTCTCCTCCATGCCATCCCCACGCCCCTTTGCCCTGCCTCTCGTCTTATTGCCCCATCCTCCTGCCACGCCCTCTAGCCCTGCCCACCTCCTTCTCCCCACTGCTACCCCCTCACTCATCCCTGCCCCACTGCCCCCCCTGCCCCCCTGCCCCCCCTGCCCCCCTGGCCATCCTGGCCCCCCTGGCCCCCCTGGCCCCCCTGGCCCCCTGGCCCCCCTGCCCCCCCTGGCCCCCCTGCCCCCCCTGGCCCCCCTGGCCCCCCTGGCCCCCCTGGGCTCCCTGCCCCCCCTGGCCCCCCTGCCCCCCCTGGCCCCCCCGCCCCCCCTGGCCCCCCTGCCCCCCCTGGCCCCCCTGGCTCCCCTGGCCTCCCTGGCCCCCCTGCCCCCCCTGGCCCCCCTGCCCCCCTGGCCCCCCTGCCCCCTGGCCCCCCTGGCCCCCCTGCCCCCCCTGGCCCCCCTGCCCCCCCTGGCCCCCCTGCCCCCCCTGGCCCCCCTGGCCCCCCTGGCCTCCCTGCCCCCCCTGGCCATGCTGGCCCCCCTGCTGTGGCCGGCCGCGTGGGCGCTGTGGGCGGCAGGTGCTGGGGTTCAACCTGACGGAGTCGGGGCTGTTCGCCGTGCTGCCGTGGCTCACCATGGCGCTCGCCTCCAACGTGGGCGGGTGGATCGCTGACACCCTCATCGCCAGGGGCTTCTCCGTCACGCTCGTCAGGAAGGTGCGCGCTCTTCCCATCCCTCCCCTCCCTTGCCTAGTCCTGCCCCCTCCGCCTACCTCGCCCTCCGATCCCTTCTCTTCCATCCCCTTGACTCGCCAGCCATGCCATGCCATTCCCCACCCCCTCCCCCCACAGGTGATGCAGAGCATTGGCTTCCTGGGCCCGGCCATCTGCCTGTCGTTGCTCTCCACCGTCAAGTCGCCCGTCGCTGCCATCGCGCTGCTCATGCTCTCCCAGGTGCGCCTCAACCCCACACACGCACCTCATGCTCTCCCAGGTGCGCCTCAACCCCACACACGCACCTCATGCTCTCCCAGGTGCGCCTCAACCCCACACACGCACCTCATGCTCTCCCAGGTGCGCCTCAACCCCACACACGCACCTCTCATCTCTCACCTGCCCGCCTTCCCTTCCTCACCTCCTCTCCTCACCTCCTCTCCTCACCTCCTCTCCTCGCGCAACGTGCGCTCCTAGCCTGCGCTGCCGCATGCTGCCCTCTGCTTGTCATGGGCCTGCCACAGCTTGCCCCCATGCCTCACAGCTTGCCGTCATGCCTCACAGCTTGCCCCCATGCCTCACAGCTTGCCCCCATGCCTCACAGCTTGCCCCCATGCCTCACAGCTTGCCCCCATGCCTCACAGCTTGCCCCCATGCTTCACAGCTTGCCCCCATGCCTCACAGCTTGCCCCTATGCCTCGCAGATTGCCCCCATGCCTCACAGCTTGCCCCCATGCCTCACAGCTTGCCCCATGCCTCACAGCTTGCCCCATGCCTCACAGCTTGCCCCCACGCCTTACAGCTTGCCCCCATGCCTCACAGCTTGCCCCCATGCCTCACAGCTTGCCCCCATGCCTCACAGCTTGCCCGCATGCCTCACAGCTTGCACCATGCCTCACAGCTTGCCCCATGCCTCACAGCTTGCCCCCATGCCTCACAGCTTGCCCCATGCCTCACAGCTTGCCCGCATGCCTCACAGCTTGCCCCCATGCCTCACAGCTTGCCCCCATGCCTCACAGCTTGCCCCATGCCTCACAGCTTGCTGCATGCCTCACAGCTTTGCCCCCATGCCTCACAGCTTGCCCCCATGCCTTACAGCTTGCCCCCATGCCTTACAGCTTTCCCCCATGCCTCACAGCTTGCCCCCATGCCTCACAGCTTGCCCGCATGCCTCACAGCTTGTACCATGCCTCACAGCTTGCCCCATGCCTCACAGCTTGCCCCCATGCCTCACAGCTTGCCCCATGCCTCACAGCTTGCCCCCATGCCTCACAGCTTGCCCCATGCCTCACAGGTTGCCCCATGCCTCACAGGTTGCCCCCATGCCTTACAGGTTGCCCCCATGCCTCACAGCTTGCCACCATGCCTCACAGCTTGCCCCATGCCTCACAGCTTGCCCCCATGCCTCACAGCTTGCCCCATGCCTCACAGCTTGCCCCATGCCTCACAGCTTGTCCCATGCCTCACAGCTTGCCCCCATGCCTCACAGCTTGCCCCATGCCTCACAGCTTGCCCCCATGCCTCACAGCTTGCCCCATGCCTCACAGCTTGCCCCATGCCTCACAGCTTGCCGCATGCCTCACAGTTTGCCCCATGCCTCACAGCTTGGCCCATGGCTTACAGCTTGCCCCCATACCTCACAGCTTGCCCCCATGCCTCACAGCTTGCCCGCATGCCTCACAGCTTGCCCCATGCCTCACAGCTTGCCCCATGCCTCACAGCTTGCCCCCATGCCTCACAGCTTGCCCCATGCCTCACAGCTTGTCCCCATGCCTCACAGCCTGCCCCATGCCTCACAGCTTGCCCCATGCCTCACAGCTTGCCCCCATGCCTTACAGCTTGCACCATGCCTCACAGCTTGCCCCCATGCCTCACAGCTTGCCCCATGCCTCACACCTTGCCCCCATGCCTCACAGCTTGCCCCCATGCCTCACAGCTTGCCCCCATGCCTCACAGCTTGCCCCATGCCTCACAGCTTGCTGCATGCCTCACAGCTTTGCCCCCATGCCTCACAGCTTGCCCCCATGCCTTACAGCTTGCCCCCATGCCTTACAGCTTTCCCCCATGCCTCACAGCTTGCCCCCATGCCTCACAGCTTGCCCGCATGCCTCACAGCTTGTACCATGCCTCACAGCTTGCCCCATGCCTCACAGCTTGCCCCCATGCCTCACAGCTTGCCCCATGCCTCACAGCTTGCCCCCATGCCTCACAGCTTGCCCCATGCCTCACAGGTTGCCCCATGCCTCACAGGTTGCCCCCATGCCTTACAGGTTGCCCCCATGCCTCACAGCTTGCCACCATGCCTCACAGCTTGCCCCATGCCTCACAGCTTGCCCCCATGCCTCACAGCTTGCCCCATGCCTCACAGCTTGCCCCATGCCTCACAGCTTGTCCCATGCCTCACAGCTTGCCCCCATGCCTCACAGCTTGCCCCATGCCTCACAGCTTGCCCCCATGCCTCACAGCTTGCCACCATGCCTCACAGCTTGCCCCATGCCTCACAGCTTGCCGCATGCCTCACAGTTTGCCCCATGCCTCACAGCTTGGCCCATGGCTTACAGCTTGCCCCCATACCTCACAGCTTGCCCCCATGCCTCACAGCTTGCCCGCATGCCTCACAGCTTGCCCCATGCCTCACAGCTTGCCCCATGCCTCACAGCTTGCCCCCATGCCTCACAGCTTGCCCCATGCCTCACAGCTTGTCCCCATGCCTCACAGCCTGCCCCATGCCTCACAGCTTGCCCCATGCCTCACAGCTTGCCCCCATGCCTTACAGCTTGCACCATGCCTCACAGCTTGCCCCCATGCCTCACAGCTTGCCCCATGCCTCACACCTTGCCCCCATGCCTCACAGCTTGCCCCCATGCCTCACAGCTTGCCCCCATGCCTCACAGCTTGCCCCATGCCTCACAGCTTGCTGCATGCCTCACAGCTTTGCCCCCATGCCTCACAGCTTGCCCCCATGCCTTACAGCTTGCCCCCATGCCTTACAGCTTTCCCCCATGCCTCACAGCTTGCCCCCATGCCTCACAGCTTGCCCGCATGCCTCACAGCTTGTACCATGCCTCACAGCTTGCCCCATGCCTCACAGCTTGCCCCCATGCCTCACAGCTTGCCCCATGCCTCACAGCTTGCCCCCATGCCTCACAGCTTGCCCCATGCCTCACAGGTTGCCCCATGCCTCACAGGTTGCCCCCATGCCTTACAGGTTGCCCCCATGCCTCACAGCTTGCCACCATGCCTCACAGCTTGCCCCATGCCTCACAGCTTGCCCCCATGCCTCACAGCTTGCCCCATGCCTCACAGCTTGCCCCATGCCTCACAGCTTGTCCCATGCCTCACAGCTTGCCCCCATGCCTCACAGCTTGGCCCATGCCTCACAGGTTGCCCCATGCCTCACAGGTTGCCCCCATGCCTTACAGGTTGCCCCCATGCCTCACAGCTTGCCACCATGCCTCACAGCTTGCCCCATGCCTCACAGCTTGCCCCCATGCCTCACAGCTTGCCCCATGCCTCACAGCTTGCCCCATGCCTCACAGCTTGTCCCATGCCTCACACCTTGCCCCCATGCCTCACAGCTTGCCCCATGCCTCACAGCTTGCCCCATGCCTCACAGCTTGCCCCATGCCTCACAGCTTGCCCCCACGCCTTACAGCTTGCCCCCATGCCTCACAGCTTGCCCCCATGCCTCACAGCTTGCCCCCATGCCTCACAGCTTGCCCGCATGCCTCACAGCTTGCACCATGCCTCACAGCTTGCCCCATGCCTCACAGCTTGCCCCCATGCCTCACAGCTTGCCCCATGCCTCACAGCTTGCCCGCATGCCTCACAGCTTGCCCCCATGCCTCACAGCTTGCCCCCATGCCTCACAGCTTGCCCCATGCCTCACAGCTTGCTGCATGCCTCACAGCTTTGCCCCCATGCCTCACAGCTTGCCCCCATGCCTTACAGCTTGCCCCCATGCCTTACAGCTTTCCCCCATGCCTCACAGCTTGCCCCCATGCCTCACAGCTTGCCCGCATGCCTCACAGCTTGTACCAAGCCTCACAGCTTGCCCCATGCCTCACAGCTTGCCCCCATGCCTCACAGCTTGCCCCATGCCTCACAGCTTGCCCCCATGCCTCACAGCTTGCCCCATGCCTCACAGGTTGCCCCATGCCTCACAGGTTGCCCCCATGCCTTACAGGTTGCCCCCATGCCTCACAGCTTGCCACCATGCCTCACAGCTTGCCCCATGCCTCACAGCTTGCCCCCATGCCTCACAGCTTGCCCCATGCCTCACAGCTTGCCCCATGCCTCACAGCTTGTCCCATGCCTCACAGCTTGCCCCCATGCCTCACAGCTTGCCCCATGCCTCACAGCTTGCCCCCATGCCTCACAGCTTGCCCCATGCCTCACAGCTTGCCCCATGCCTCACAGCTTGCCGCATGCCTCACAGTTTGCCCCATGCCTCACAGCTTGGCCCATGGCTTACAGCTTGCCCCCATACCTCACAGCTTGCCCCCATGCCTCACAGCTTGCCCGCATGCCTCACAGCTTGCCCCATGCCTCACAGCTTGCCCCATGCCTCACAGCTTGCCCCCATGCCTCACAGCTTGCCCCATGCCTCACAGCTTGTCCCCATGCCTCACAGCCTGCCCCATGCCTCACAGCTTGCCCCATGCCTCACAGCTTGCCCCCATGCCTTACAGCTTGCACCATGCCTCACAGCTTGCCCCCATGCCTCACAGCTTGCCCCATGCCTCACACCTTGCCCCCATGCCTCACAGCTTGCCCCCATGCCTCACAGCTTGCCCCATGCCTCACAGGTTGCCCCATGCCTCACAGGTTGCCCCCATGCCTTACAGGTTGCCCCCATGCCTCACAGCTTGCCACCATGCCTCACAGCTTGCCCCATGCCTCACAGCTTGCCCCCATGCCTCACAGCTTGCCCCATGCCTCACAGCTTGCCCCATGCCTCACAGCTTGTCCCATGCCTCACAGCTTGCCCCCATGCCTCACAGCTTGCCCCATGCCTCACAGGTTGCCCCATGCCTCACAGGTTGCCCCCATGCCTTACAGGTTGCCCCCATGCCTCACAGCTTGCCACCATGCCTCACAGCTTGCCCCATGCCTCACAGCTTGCCCCCATGCCTCACAGCTTGCCCCATGCCTCACAGCTTGCCCCATGCCTCACAGCTTGTCCCATGCCTCACACCTTGCCCCCATGCCTCACAGCTTGCCCCATGCCTCACAGCTTGCCCCATGCCTCACAGCTTGCCCCATGCCTCACAGCTTGCGCCCTTGCCCCCATGCCTGCCCCCCTCACCCCTTCCCCCCCTCAGGGCACGGACGCCTTCTCCCAGTCAGGGCTCTACTCCAACCATCAGGACATCGGCCCACGCTACGCTGTCAGTACCGCCCCTCCGCCCCTCGCCCCTCGCCTCACCTCCTGCTTCGCCCTCCATCTGCCTCGTACCTACCCTCTGCTCTTCCTCTCTGCCTGCTCCCTCATTGGTTCTCTTGACTGAATTCACTGTTCATCCATCCTGCTGCCGCCTTCCTCTTGCACGTCGCATCCCCATGCGCCTTCCCCCATCCGCCCATGCCTGTCGTGCCGGTGCCTGTGGTGCCTCAGGGAATTCTGCTGGGTCTCTCCAACAGCGCTGGCGTGCTGGCAGGTGTCTTCGGCACCTACGTCACGGGGCAGATCCTTCAGAACGGTACGCCACGGGCCAGAATCCTTAACTGCAAATCCGTGCCATGGCGCCTTCGTTGCTGTCATCCCACCCCGGCATACAGCACATGCCAGGCCCAAGTAAGCGCCAATACTATCCTCTCCCCCCTCCTCCCTTCCCTCCGCTTCCTCCCCCCTGTGTTGGGCCGTGGTGTTGTGCTGCAGGGTCGTGGGACGAGGTGTTCACGGTGGCGGTGGCGCTGTACCTGGTGGGCACAGTGGTGTGGAACGTGTTCGCCACGGGGGAGAGGGTCTTCGACTGACCACTCTCCACCCGTGCCATGCCATGCCACACCACATGGCTGCTGCTGGTCTTGCAGAGCTGAAATCCACCTTTATACCATCCGTGACATGCCCCCTCCACAATCATTGTAGTGAATTTATTCCGGATTTACGAAATAAGAGCGTGTTCCTACGAATCTCTTCCTAGGCTAGTATCCTCTTCCCAGACTGCTCTCAGCTGAGCGCGTGTTTGAAGGACCCTTTTTCAAGCCAATTTGTTTCAGAATCGCGTTCTCAACAGCAATGAATCAGCTGGCGTCAGAGTCGCACTGTACAGATTCGCGCGGGTCTGACAGATCTGTGCCTGAAACGAGGTTTGAAAACAGCCTTGAATCTCAACAAACCCAATCTCGCGTCACACCACGCGGAACCGCACTAAACTGTGTCGAGTCAAAATTATGTGGCACTGTAGCGCGGGAGTCTGGGAAGAGGCAGCAGGAACACGCTCTAAGTTAGCAGAACGTCCTTTCTGCAAGCAGCAAGTTGGCACACATTTTAGGATAGACAGTATTGTGCATGCTCATCTGGATAGAGGTGTGTTTGCTCGCTTATCAGGAAACAAGGGAGCAGGCTAGTGCACGGTGCACATCCACCCGTATGAGGGGTGTCAGTGCATACACATCAGGATCAAGGGGTGTCTACTTGTCATGTTATATCTATTCCACTAGCATGGACCAACAAAATACTATCCATCGTGTGCGAGTAGCAGCATTAATGGTACATATTCAATCACTAGATTGGGTCCTGAATCATACTACAACATGGCAATGTTCGAATATTGAAGAATACATTTTACATGCGTATAACCGCGAGTGAAACCAGCAGAGAGAACGATTGGGCAGTGCACTCTGCGGCAACTCAGTGTGTGTCAGTGAGTTTGTGTGACACCACGTCTGCTCTCTCCTCCACAGCCTGTATACACCACTCCAGGTTCTAGCCACCACAAGCCCTCCCCTGCTGTATGCCTGCCTGTCTGCGTGCACCCATGTGTCCCTCCCTCACCCCCTGCGCGTCACTGCGCCTGCACGTTCACGCGTGCACGGTACATCTCCAGCACAGGCTCGCTGTCTTCGCCATCCGTCTCCACCACGGCTGACGCCAGCAGCTTGTGGCTGCCCGCCGGCACGAAGAAGACATCTCCCACGTGCACCCCCTGCACATACGACGGTGCCGCCGCCACCGCCGCTGCCGACCCGTGCACCTTGTTCATCCCGTTAGCAGGAGCCACTGAGATGGCTCCAGATCCGCGGAACACCAGCAGAATGGACGGCCCAGATATCTCCGGCAGAGCTGCTGTCTGCCCAAGAGGCACCGAGATCTTCTCAACCTCGAACTCGTCGAAGGGCGGCGTGTAGACGCTGACGTGCGGCGTGATGGGGGTGCCGTTGAGCAGCTGCGGGCAGCCCTGCTTGTACGTGAGCATGGAGCACAGCGTGTCCGTGTCGCGGTACTTGGGCGTGAGCCCTGCGCGCACCACGTTGTCGGACGCCGCCATGCACTCAATGCACTCGCCCGCCAGGTACGCGTGCGGCTCGTTGGCGGCAAGGCAGATGGCCTGGCCGGGCTGCAGCGTGACGTGGTTGAGGAAGAAGGCCGACAGCACGCCCACGTCGCCCGGGTACTGTTGCTCCAGCCGCCGCACCAGCTGCTCCTTGTCCGTCAGCTCGCGCGCCTGCTCACGACAGCGAGACACAGGTGGGATACAAGAGGCGGGGAGGGTGAGATGAGTGGGTTGGTACATGCGTTCAGGGTGGACCGAGTCTCACAAGCAATACGAAATATGTAAATTACACGGCCCGGATCACAGGTAAAAGAGCACTGTGTTGCATATTGATCATGGAAGTTACCATCGATGATGCAATCACCGTCGAAACTAGCCACAATGCCAACATGCCAACACACTTCTCGATCCCTCCTGCACCAGCTATGGACGCCTCCAACTGATCCCTTTCCATACCGCCATACCGCCACGCCACGACGCCATGGCGCACGCACCTTGGATTCGTGTTGCAACCGCGCGACGAGGCTTGAGAGGTGCGTTTGGATCACGTCGCCGTCCTGCGTCATTAGCGCCCTGAACGCGTCCTTAAACGCCCTCTGCTCTGCACACTCCTGCGCCTCGTGTGCGCCGTTGACTCCATTGACTCCGTTAACTCCATTCTTGCCGGCTCTGAGCACGCTGTCCGCGTGGTGTTCGCCGATGGCCATGCGCAGCTCGGGCACCGACTGGATGCTCTCGCGGAGTTCCTGAGGCAAGAAGCAGCGAGAACGCCCGTGATTAGGTCAGATGAAGCCCAAGTATGAGGAGGGATACAGCGGGCGACGGAGGCACGCCGAGCCTGCAATAGATCGTTGCCCTGACACACAAAAGCGCTACAGCCACCATCGCGCCACTGAAAAGGCCGCCTTGCAACCGACCTGGCAATTCTCGCACCCTTCCCTCGCTCCCTTTCCTCACACTCCTCTCTCGCACCCTTCCCTATCGCCCTTACCCGCGAGGTGACGAAGCCGCAAAGCGCCTCGAAGGGCGTGACGGCGAGGGCCATCTCGGGCTTGTGGTTGTCGTCCTTGTAGTTCTTGGGCTGCGTCGCGTGCAGCTGCTCCGCCAGCCGCTTGTCGGGGTGCGCCTGGATCGACAGAGCCTTCGCCACGCTCAGAACCTGCCGGGGATCGCACACACGCATCCTTTCGGACTCAACACCTGCCGCATGCTGCGCGCTAGCTATACCACACGGTCGTCGAAAAAATAAAAGCTGCGGGAAAAGGTCGTTAACCTAACGTGCTGTTAGTATTTGCACTCAAGGACAGCAAGACACGGTAACTTCAAGGCTGCCAGACGTCTGCTTCTACGGTACGACATTAGGGTTTCAACGGCGACGTTCGATCTCTTGCATACGCTAAGCAAATAAAAAAAGCATCCGGGCGCCGCAGAAAGGCAGCAAGCGGGCGTGGCGGCGTACCTTGAAGAGGAACGGCAACTGTCCCGGCCACTTCTGCTGCACCGTGGCGCCCAGCGCCTCGGGGTGCGCGTCCAGCCAATCCTGCAGCAGTTGCGGCTCGCCCTCCGCCGCGTCGTTCTTGACCAGAACGGTGCAAGGGGAGCCGCTTTGGTCCGGCTTGGCGGACGGCAGCACGAGCGACGGCCCGCTGGGGTGCGTGCCCATCCAGAGCTCGGCGTACGGCACGTCGTCCTTGGCCGCCGCCGCGCTGCCGCTCGTGCCCAGCGCGTACAGCCGACCCACCGTGCTGCCGCTGCCCTTGATGCCCCAGTCGTACGTCTGCGCCACGCAGCGCATCCGAAGGATTGGAGGGTAACTGCCAGCCATGGCGTCGATCGTTAATTGAGTCGAGGACTACTTGGGATAGATGGGGAAGAAAGAGATGACAAAACTTCAAGCTGAAACAATAGCCTGTCAAATCGGCTAGAGTATATGTACAAAGATACAAGGTGGGACTGTCCTGGACCGACTCTTAAGTGTCTAGGGAAAGCTGGAGTTATGAATTGATCCCAAGGACCTGTGAAATAGTCCTTGGGGTTGCACAAGCCCGGCTTGGGAGTGGGGAACGAGCGGAACGATGGCGGAGGGGAGAGGGAGGAGGAGGGAGCGGGAGGGCTGCTGCTCTCCGTGCGCAGAGAGAGTGGCGGAGCGGAGGAAATGAGCGTAGCAGAAGGGGGAGAGGGAGGGTAGCGGAGGTGCGCGGAGGGGAAGAGCGGGAGAGGGGTCAGCAGCAGAAGGCGGTACGATCCGGTGGGCAGGAGGGAGGCGGATGTCGTTTCGCACCACGCAGCTCGCAGGGTGAGCGCATCTGCGGACAGTCGCATGCATCTCAGGTGGGGGAGAATCTCGAGGAGGTCAACGACACGACCACACAGAGGGCAGGCATGCTGTGGCGAAGGGAAAGCCTGGAAAATGCCACCATTTACGACATTCCACGTGGATTAATCACACTCCCTGTGTCGTGAAAGGGTAGTCAGTGGAGACGGGCAGGACCTGGCACCTGCGGCGCGGTGACTCCCCATCCCCACCCCATACAGTTCTCGTGGGAACATCTGGCGTTGCAGGAGTTCACCAACTCCGAAAACGTTGATGCCGCGAAATATTTGCCTACGATTGGCGTTTCTGTAGTGGAGGCGGGAATCCTACCCATGGAACACACCAAAAATCCTTGACTACACCTTGTTTGGTACTTGTACAATCAAGCTAACCTATTGGTTTCATGCAAATCCTATTTATCAAAATAGCTACCCCACTATCACCGACCACCAATGCTGTAAAAATGGCATGGCAGTGATGGATTTTTTTTAATGTATACGTGTTTTTTTCTCCGTATTCTTTCTTCAACACTGCACTTTATAAAGAGCCCATTACATTGGAGAAAAGCATGCGGTAGAATTAGGACACCATCAATCCATCTGGAACACAGCAACACCAAACTCCAACACGTGTCTGTTGAGGTCACCCCAAGTGTTGTCAATCACTGCACAAACTGAGTCGTGCTTCATAGCTCAATGTGGTGATTGGTTTGTTTCATTTTTTTTTTCCTAGGAGTGTTGAAGGGCATTTCCGCCCATGCGTCCGTAACGCCACCTCCGCACCAATGAAGACAGCTGTTCTTTTCTTGTGCCTGGTGCTTTCTGTTAAAGTAAAAGAATGACTACAATAGTGACATACAAGGAAATATAACCTCGTGGGTATCAAACATACTATATATTGTATATTTCTGTAGGCTATATAGGGTTGTGCCTTAGGGAGTACAACCCATTAGGTTACATTCCCTTGTATGCCTTGTTCTAGACATTCTTTCAGTTGAACATGGTATCATGAGCAGGTAGGCCCCCCCCCCCCCCCCCCCCCCCTAGCACTTCCGCCCTAGGTCCTAGCCGCCTCGTCGCCCCGCGACCCGTCACCTAGCGGCCCCGTGGCCCCATCACCTAGCGGCCCCGCGGCCCCGTCCCCTAGCAACCCCGCGGCCCCGTCACCTCGCGGCCCCGCGGCCCCGTCACCTAGCGGCCCCTCGGTCCCGTCCCCTAGCAAACCTGCGGCCCCGACCCCTAGCATCCCCGCGGCCCCGTCAACTAGCGGCCCTGTGGCCCTGTCACCTAGCGGCCCGCGGCCCCGTCAACTAGCGGCCCCGCGGCCCCGTCCCCTAGCCGCCCCGCGGCCCCGTCCCCTAGCAGCCCCATCCCCTAGCGGCCCCGCGGCCCCGTCACCTCGCGGCCCCCCTTCCTAGCCGCCCCCCCCCCCCTCTCTTCCCAGCCGGCCCCACCTCCTAGCCGGCCCCGTCTCCCTGCCGGCCCCGCCTCTTTGCTGGCCCCGTCGCCTTGCCGCCCGCGGCCCCGTCTTCTAGACGCCTTGCCGCCGTCCTCGGCCCCTCTGCACCGCGCTGCACCGCCCGGCACCGCTCTGCACTGCACTGCACCGTACGGCATCGCACTGCACCGCTCTATACCGCACTGCACCGCACTACTGTTGAGAATAGCCCTGATCCTGCGAAGGTTGCAGAAGTCTGCGGAAGCGGCATATCAACGAAGTTTGCGGACACGAGCCCTGCAGAAAGGCCCATCGACTAAGAGCAGATTTGTCGACAAGGCGAGGTTGCAGTTTTCGTTGGTGACAGAAAAACGGTTCTGTCGGAGTGGCAGAACAGGAGCGCTTTTTCTGCATATGGCTTCTACAGACTTCTGTTCTTTTGTAGGAGCAGTCTTGGCAGAAACGAGAGTGTACAAGACCCTCTGCCGATTTGGCACCAGGGGCCATTTGCAGAAGGGTTGTCCTCTGCAGAAGTATCGTGCAGAAGACATTTCTGCGGGCGACCGTTTCGGCAGAAACGACTCTCGGAAATGCGTTCCAACAGGACCTTGGGCAGCGTGGCGGAAGGACCTGTTCGCGCAGAATTGCGTTATGCCGAAGTTCGGCAGAAAGGCAATTCGGCTATCTCTTCTGTTGATGACCCCCTCGGCAGAAACGAAATTCGGCAGAAGTGCGGCAGAGAGTCATCTCAGACTTTGCTTCTGCGAGCGACCCCTTCGACAGAAATATGGGGCCTTCGTTTTTCGGATGAAGGTGCGTTCCGAAATCACGAGATTTTTGCGATTTCGTAAGTTAAAGCGAGCGTACAGACCAAACTCAAGAGTAAAAGGTTTGAGTCCCCCGACGCATGAAAACTAACGCGACACAAACACGGTAACCAAATACCAGCAGGAGGGGTGCGATTTTTATTTGGGAAGATTCTGATTGGCTATGCGACTCACCACCAACCCAGCGACAGAACAAGGAAAGTCTCTCCCCCCGCCACATCAAGACCCAAAGCTTTTGCTTTTTACTCTGTACTCAGTAGCCATGGCTCCTTCCCCGCCATTCTCGCTCCCTAACACAGCGCTTACCTCTTATTTCGTCATTCACGGGAAAGGTGCGGCTTATTATAACGTTTACATGTTCCCGTAACCCTGTGGGCGACAGCTACCTGCCGCATCTCCGTTAGTTTATGCGACCAGTGATTTCGTACCTAATCGCCCACTTCGGTGCATGCCACGCTATCATTTTAGGGCGTGCCACGCGAAGACCTTATTAGCAAGCTCTAAGGCATTTCCTCGCCGGTGCGCCCAAGTACCTCGCCCGTTGCCTCGCTTCCCACTCCCCGCTCCTCGCAGCAGCTGCGAGAGCGCTGCCCCGCTTTCCCACTCTTCCGCATTCCCTGTTTTCCGCCCCGCCCACTACATCTGCTTGCATTCGCCTCCCCGATTTCCCGCACTCAAGCTGCCACTGCTTTCCCGCTTCCCGTATCCCGCTTCCTGCTCTCTCGATTCCCACTTTCCCATTATCCTGCTTCCCCGATTTTCCGCTTTCCGCCCAATCCGCTAGCCCGCGTTCCCGCAGTCCCGCTTTCCGCTTTCCCGCGTCCCCGCTTCCCCCCAAGCACCCATTTTCCCCTCCCTTTCCCATCCTCGTCGGCCATCCCATGTCTTCCCGTCGCCAATTCCCTCCCTTCCTATCCCCATGCCCTGCAGGGCTATGGGAGGGGGGGAAGCATGGCTATGGGAGGGGGGGAAGCAGGGCTATGGGAGGGGGGGAAGCAGGGCTATGGGAGGGGGGGAAGCAGGGCTATGGGAGGGGGGGAAGCAGGGCTATGGGATGGGGGGAAGCAGGGCTATGGGAGGGGGGGAAGCATGGCTATGGGAGGGGGGGAAGCAGGGCTATGGGAGGTGGGGAAGCAGGGCAGGGGGGGAAGCAGGGCTATGGGAGGAGGGGAAGCAGGGCTATGGGAGGGGGGGAAGCAGGGCTATGGGAGGTGGGGAAGCAGGGCTATGGGAGGGGGGAAATCAGGGCTATGGGAGGGGGGGAAGTAGGGCTATGGGAGGGGGGGAACCGGGGGTATAGATGGGAGGCATTGGGGCTCACTCTTCTCCCCTCTTCCCCCCCCCCACACCCGTTCTCTCTCTCCCTCTTTCTCTCTCACTCTCTCTCGCGCCTCGCACCCGTTCTCCCCTCCTCCCCGCGCTCCCTCACCGTCCCTCCCTCTCTGTCCCTCCCTCTCTTGCGCGCTCTCTCCCTCGCCCCCTCTCTCTCTTCCTCCCTTTCTCCCACTCCACTCTCTCATTCTCTCTCTCTTTCTCTCTTGTTCTCCCTTTCCCCCTCACTCTCCATCCACCGCCTGCCCCTTTCATTCTATATCGTTTATTGCCTTGGACATTCAACCCTCCCCCCCCCCCCCCCGCCCCTTTCTCTCCTACAGCCTGCTCCCATTCTCACTTCCTACTTCCATCCTGTAGGTTGCAAGGTGCGTGGAAAAGGAGGTGAATAACGCCTAGGCTAGAGGACCCTGGCTGTTCCTAGCTAGACTGTTAGGGGTTTCCTAGGTTGTGCTGCATTGTGTGTCTTGTTCTTGCCTACGAAAAATTGGCGCTCATGCCCGCTTGCTTGCTTATGTTTCAAAACCAAACTTTGCACTCAGTGGGAACTGGATCCCTGCTATTTTGAAGTCATGTGCTTCATTGTGTAATTATCGTCTCTAACCTGTGTAAAAGTAGATGCGTTGTGCTAATTTCTTAGTTTTTTGTTTGTTTGTTTGTTTTTTTGGTTGAACACATGAGCCTCACCAACACAACACTGTGCTTTTCTCCGTAAAAGATGTTTACTGTTGATTTCTGTCAGAACAGTCCTTAGCGAGTTCGACGGCCAGCGTCGCCCGCTGTACCCTTTCGACCTCGCCAGTTTTGGCGAGACCATTTCAGTCGTCGCGAGGCCCCTTGCGTTTCGCGTGGGGCCCGCCCCATTTTTGCGACACTTGTGCCCCTCGCCATTTTCGCTACCCCCAACTCAAGATTCAAAGTCTTTGAATCTTGAGTTTGGTCTGTCCGCTCGCTTTAACCTCATAACCGATCTGGACAGAAAACGACAAAATCTACCAGCGACATTGAGAAATTGAACATGTGACGCACATTTCGGAACTGCGGAAATGTGCGTAACATCTGACAGTTTCATATATGAAACTATTAAAACAACTACTTC